GGAATCGAACCCCGATCGCCTGGATCCTAGGTCGACGCTCAACCACTGAGCCACGCCCGGCTGGGCAAGGTCTTTGTTTTTATTATTGCAAAAGACAGTGCCAAATATTATTGACCTACTTTCTTTGTTGCTCCATGCATGTTTGTCTTCTCCTATTAGATTGTCACTTCTGGACAGACAGAAATTGGTCTTACTGACTTCCCCCGCATGTCTTGGTATAAAGCCAGTACCCGAATGCTTTCAGTATGTACAGGCTGAGTATTTCCAGTATCTTTAAATTGCCTGGGGAGTGTTGATAGATTGTAGCATCGACTTGTGCTACAGAAGTAACAGGGAAAGCCAACAATAGGCAATCCCTTTATGTTCCTGTGTTTATTATGTGTAGTATTCATATAAATAATTACCATTTCATTTAGAAGCAACGCATCTATTTTAACTTTTTAAATCCCGTTTAGTGTGATATTGTTATTTAATTATATAGTATCTTATGTTTATTTAAGGATAGGTTGTATTCTGTTTATAAATATGGCTTTATTAAAAAATTCAAACGTACTTATAATAAGAACATTATAATCAGTTAACATGTTAGTATTGTCAGAATACTCTTTTTTTGCCACAGGAGGGCACTGTTGTCAAACAAAAGGTGATTTTAAGTTGAAAATTTAGTGAAGGTTCAAATTCAGCTTTTAGGAATCATTATCCCATTAATGGATTAAAATGGCCAGTGTTATCTGCAATGGGCATGGTCTTGTTATTTAATCCGGCTACAGCTGAATTTACTGTGTGTGCGTGTCCGTGAGCTGTCCGTCATTAATAGCTGGGTCACACTGCGCTTTTCCTAAAATGCTCTGTGAGCTCCAGCTGGAAGGTGGGCGTCTAGTTGAACTGTGTTAGTTCACGGGTGAGGAGTTTGGGGGAGCACTGCAGTTAAATGGGAGTGAAACCAGAGGCTACGTAACAGAACCTGTGTAACACCAGGATGTGCCGGGCATCATGTCAGAGATTACGGTCAGGAGAAATACGGCATCACTCCTCCCTCCAGGGGTGTGCTTGCGTCCTGGTTATTAGTGACCCCCATCCCCCCCTGTAATGATTAGAGCAGTAGATGTGCTGTTAATCCGTTTTTATGCACAACTTACTTTATTTTTTATGAATATTCTTTTTGTCTTTCAGTTTTATTTTGTATTAGTTTTAGGTGTACAGTTTAGTGGGAAGACAATTATATACTTTGCATAGTGTTCCCCTCGATATTTCCAGTATCCCAAAGCAGACTATACATAGTTATCACAATATTATTGACTATATTTCCTTTGCTGTACTTATACCCCCCTCACTTTTGAATATTCTTTATGTAGAAGTTAGGTCATCACATAAAAATTTTTTAGATAAATTTCAAGTGCTTGGCAACTTGTGGGAAGCCTCCAAAATATTATGTTGGCTATTTGTTATGTTAAATAAAATCCTTGAACACCGTGTTTTGATTATTCGACTAATGAGAAATGAGAGGAAAATTTCCAATTAAAACCTGGTCTAATTAAAAGAAATAAGCCTTCTGTAGTGAGGTTAATTGGGCCTTGAGAGACTTATGGCTAAATTGCCATTACCACCAGACCTGGGCAGTTTCCCTTGGACAGCAGTCTGTGGAGTCGTGCTGGATGTCCCTGAATTTGGTGAGTGCATTTTATTTTATGTGACTTGCTGTTTGCTTTCTCTCTTTTGTTTGTAGGCTCTCAATGAGCCATGAGCCATGATCATTCAGTAATGGTTGCTCTTGTACTTTCCATGGTCAGTGGAAGGCTAGGGTTTTTCATTAACAAAATGCACCGTTTGTCACACTTCCAATAGAAAGGAACGTGTCACTTAGATTACTGTAGTTTTAGGGGTCTCTCAGTTCTTAAAGTGACAGGGTGAACCTTATAGAAACACAGCCTGCCTATTCAATTACTCAGATCATTTCCGACTGGAAGAGCCATTTAAAAGCACTCTACCACTAATTCAGATGGGATAGTATTGGTAACACTTGAAATGCCATTTATAAAACTCCTTAATATTAATAGACACAGTTATCTTCTTTAATGGCTCATTTATAACATGCATGCAGTAATAAATTCTTCATGGATGCTTTCAAGCAAGCAATAAAAGCCATTTATGATATGGATATACCATATTTTTGGCAGAGAAACTTGCCTGCTTTAAATATGATGGTGACCATGCTGTAAATGACAGAGCAATTCCATGAGTTAGGTGATGATTTTATGACAGATCAGCGAGGCACCAGCCGCATATCAGGGCTTGAGACATATCATGTATGCAGCACACTTTCAGGTATCAAAGGCTCCTTAGTTACGGTCTTATTTCAGGATAAGTTTGCTAAGAGAGGTTGTAGTGGGTTTTGCACACTTTCCTGGAAAAGCTGAAAATTTCCGGAAGACAATTCAATGTGGTCTGTGACTTCAGCAACTGGAAATGGACACATCTTTTCTCATTTCCGTCTGAAGAAATGATGAATTATTTTATGTAGCAACTTCCAGCTCAAGTTCCCATTGACTTTTGGATAACACATCACTTAGTGGGACCATCTCTTCTCCCCTTCGCACTCATAAAACTCTTTTCCACGCCCCGAATGCAGGTTGCTAACTTCTGAAACATTTCTCACTTCTAGCATCATTGTCTTGACTGAGTAGAAATTAGTGTGGAGAAATGATTTACCACAGTGTCTAAACTCTTACGGGCATCAGCGGCCACATCATTAGCTGTCAGAATTATTCCTACTTGCGCCCTGAAGTCACCGGGCATCCCAGTGGGTCCCTCCCCGGGAGGTCAGATGAAGTGATGGTGAGTCTGGAAATAGCTAACTATTGGGATGGGATGTCCCCCCCGGGGGTGACGCAAGCCCGGCCTGGCGCTGCGGGAGGCCAGGCCGCAGGAGCAGCCCGAGGCCTGCGTGCTTTGCCAGGAGGCCCGAGTCTGCCTGGTCGCTCTTACAAAAATGCTCCTGGACGAGTGTCAGGAAATGGGCCCGAGTGGGTGCGCGACCAGAGGCCTCCTCCTGTTTTGTTTCAATGCCGAATTCCTTCATTGAGCCCCGCTGCGTCCTGCTCCGCGGGTGGATTTTCACTGACGTCCCGCAGGACTCGGAAGCGCAGTCGCTCTCAGTCGGTGTGGAACCAGCAGCCTACGCCCAAGGTCTCTAGAAGTCTTGTTGTTAATCCTTACATGAGGATACCTTTTCCATTGATTTTTTAGAGAGAGTGGAAGGGGGGGAGAGAGAAAGAGAGAGAGAGGGAGGGGAGAGAGGGAGAGAGATCGATTGGCTGCCTCCCGCACTCACCCTCACCGGAGCTGAGGATTAAACCTGCAACCCAGGTACGTGCCCTTGACCAGGAGTCGAACCCGCGACCCTTCGGTGCCTGGGTGGATGCTCTACCACGGAGCCGCACCAGCCAGAGCTCTAAAATTCTTGCTTGCTTGGTCTTAGTTTGGAAAATGACGTAAGCCTTTCATGAAGCTGCAGCAAGTCAGAAACACTGTTCCCACCATCTTTCCAGAGACGGCCAAACTCGCTTCGGGGTTAATATAAACATCTCAGGTTCCAAGCCAGGATCTGCCAGCAGATCACTCCAGGTGCCTGTACACATTTGTCCACAGACAGAAGCTTCTCCTACACGATCAGCTCCTTGAATTCCTGAAGAAAGACTTGTTTCCAGTCCGCTTACTAAAGCATGGGAAGGGACTTGGGAAGCAATTTCACAGTTGAGGTAGTAGGTACCCTGGTGCTGGATGGCTTGGGTCTGAGTCCTCCTCAGGCACTTGCTACCTGAGTGACCTTGGGCAGGGGACTGTGCTAGGTCCTACTTTCCTCACCTGTATGTCAGGATATAAATAAATCCTACTTTTAAGTGAGTTAATATTTTAAGTGCTTAACACAGTGCTTGGCCCTTAGTAGGCATGATCTACCTGCTTTTTAAATTCAAACAAACCTTCTCTGGGGGCTTGGGTGAATGCTCGGAGAATGGAACTAACCAGGGCATTCCAACGACCAGCTCTCCTCGTTGCTGAGGATGGGTAATAAATGGTCATTTTAGAATATCTTAACGAACTGGAGACTTTTCAGCAAATATTTAATGTCTTATTGTGGTGTGATTTCCAACTTAATGAGAAGTTGAAAGAACAGAAAAATAACTCTCATATACCCTTAATCCAGATCCACCAGTTTCTTACATTTTGCTCATTTGTTTTCTCATTCATTCATTCATTTGTTCATTCATTTGTTCGTTCGTTCATTCATTCACTTCATTCATTCATTCATTCATTCATTATTCTCTTCCTCCCTTCCCTTCCCCTTTCCTTCTATCTCTCTCTCTCTCTTTCTCAGAATCGTTTGAAAGCAAGTTGGAGACATTCAACCTTTTCTCTTACATATTTCAGGCAGCATCTTTAAATAAAAAGAGACATTTTCTTAACTACAGAATAATGATAAAAATCAGGAAACTTAATGTTGGCAAAAAACTAACCTACCATCTACATTTAGAAATTGTGAATTATCCCAGTAATGCCCTTTACAGCTCTATCTGTGTGTTTGTACGTGTTTATGTTTGAGTGAATGTATGTGTATGACTGTGCATGTTTGCATGTGTGCATGTGTGTGGTGTGCACAGTCTATTCCGAGAATAACTCTGTGTGTGTGTATTTATTTTTTGTCCAAGATCCAATGTAGGATCACAGTTGCATTTAGTTGTTATGTGTCTATCCTTCGTTTGGGACAATTCCTCACGTGTGTGTGTGTACATATGCATGTACATATACATGCATGCATTCTTCATGTACACACATATTTATCATGACCTTGATACTTCTTAACAATACGGAGCAATTCCTTTGCAGAATGCTCTCAAATCTGAATTAGTCTGATTTTAACTCATAATTAGATCCAGGTTTAAGGTGGTTGTGTCTTACAGTTTTAAAAGGAACTTGGATATTTCATCATTGGAGGATTTCAGAATGACCAAATGAGGAGAACTTGGTGCTGTACAGACTGACGCGTGGAGTGAGGTGCGTGCAGCAAGCTGACCTGAGGGGGGTTCTGAGGGTGCTTATCGGGGTAAACGACTGTATTCCAAACGGGTGGCCCGCTGAGGGCCTCGCCCCGCTGCGAGTGCAGGCAGGCAGATCAAGGCGAAGGGCAGGCAACGTCTCCGCGTTCGCCCGAGAAGAAGCCCAGGCTGGGAGGGATTTGCCCTCATGTGCGGTGGGAATAGATCACACACCCGGGGACTCGGCCGCTGCCCCGCATCTCAGGGCTGCTTGTGCCAGGAAACGTGAGCGGGCGCCCACTCTTTTGTTGTAAAAGAGCGAGATCCCCCCACAATACCAGCAGCCGGCCCCCAAATGCTGAGTCCCTTTAGTTCCCCCGAGAAGCGCTGGGCACATTAACTAGTTTCTTCAGCCTGGATGTGGTCAGTGTCTCATCAGTGAAAACATTAGATGCTTAAAAACAAATGGCTCTGGAAGCAGCCTGGTGGGAGGCGCGGTGCTGTTGCTGGGAGACAGCAGCGAGAAGCAATGCTTTTGGGTTCACGCACAGTCGGGTGGTTTGGGATGTGCTAGCATTTGGAAGTGACAAGAAAGAGAGAGTCCTTTTCTGTAAGTGTCGAGGGTCCACTCTGGGAAAATCTGACTGAATGAGCTACTGCTCAGCCTAGAATTAAACTCCCGGTTTCTCGTCTGGCATATGAACTATTAAATCATTTCTTTCCACTGATGAATCCATTTTTAATAAAGTGAAAAAAGAACCCCAGTGGCTCCTTTTGTGTGAAGAGAACAAGATAAATATTAGCTAGGAAAGGTCAAATTGGTTTCCAATATGTGGGGAGTTCGTTAGGATAGGTTTGGATAAACTATACTGCACATTTCTTTCCAATCAGAAGGTCACGCTGTGCCTGTGGGTGGACATCAGGACAAACATACTTAATAAAGTTGCAGGATCAGAGAGATGCACATTTTTCAGTCGCTTCGAATACCTTATTTATACAGTTTTTAAAAGCTGCTTTCCTCTGGTTGAGCTCATCACTCAAGGCCCACTCTCTCTTGTAGCCCCCAAATTACAAGTCTGTTACTGAAAGTGTTCTCTAAGCAAACATGTAATCATTTCCAGGGACATCTAAAGAACAGAAGAATCTCCCTTGTGCTTTGGGAGATTTGTAGTGGGTTCAGCAGGATTCTAAAGTAAGTAGATTTGTTGCAAGAATAATTTTTATATTGCACTTGCAACTTTAATATCTCCTGACACACACTATTATTTGCTTTGGTCTCCGTGGGAGGGGTGTATTTAACTTAGAAATGGTGTAGTACACATTCCATTTTTGTTGTTGAGAAATCTTTGGTTTAGAATCATCTGAGTTCTTTTTGTACGAAGGTTTTTGCCCAGTAGAAAAGTCCTTTTAGGTCTGTGTGCTAAAGGGGCGTGCCGAGTGTCAATTATGGTATTAATAATGTTCTTTGTATTTTTTTATGGTGCTTTCCATTGGAACCACTTTTACCCTCTGCCTCCCATCAACACTTTTCAAGGAGCATCCATCTTCCGGTTTATGTTGCATAAAGCTAGGGCTTCAGATCTTCCTGCTGGCCTTTCCACTGCTCTGTGAGCCCGGGCAAGTTGCAGAGCTCTTGGGAATGGACCACCCTTATTCCATTTTCACCCCTTGGTTAAGGAAATGAGGGAGTGGAATTTTGCATCAAGAATGGCATGGGAGCCTATTTCAGATTTTGAATGTCTTTGCTGTTGAGGGAACTTCTACTTTAAAATTGTATTCTGCTAACTGATATGTGGCGAGTTAATTAGTGCAGAATTCTGTATCCACCCCCCTCCCTGCGTATTTTAGGACATTTCACAAATGTATGTGTGTTTGGCTGTCTCCCACTTGCCTGAAACTGCAAGCATCACTGTAAAAACCATTATTTTGTTACTGGAAATTTGTATCATTTAAATGTTAAAATGCTAATGGCTTCCTGCTTTATTTTTTTTAATAGGTCTTCCCAAGCTAAAGTAATTTTTGGAACTGCAGAGATGGTTGGTCCTGGCTACAAATGGGAACTTGCAGTCATTCTGAAATGTATCCTGGAATAGTTGTGTTTCTCTGGAACCAAATCTTATGAAGTCTCCAAGGTAAAGTAATTGTAGCACATATCGAGAGATGGTATCTTTATGAAGCGCTAAGAATGTAGCAAAACGGAGTATCCTAGAGCTGATGATTCTTTATAAAAGCCTTCTTTTACATTTAACTTTTGGGAACTTGAGGAATTATAGTTTTTAAAATTTTAGTTCTCACTAAAATTATTTCAGTTTGTAAAGCAGTGTTTGGCTGTTCAGTAGGGCGAAACGTGAGGTTTTAAGGTAAATCAACTTTGTTTTACATTTGGACAAGAATGTTCAGGGTGGAGGAAACTGAGGCTGAAGTACAGATGTGGCAGGTTGGAAGTCCTTTTTGGGAGTCTGGGTTATTGAATGATATAAAGAATTATTGCTGAGTAGAGGCCCTCGGCCCCAAGCGCTTCTCCAGGGAATCACAGCTTTCCTAAGTCAGTGCTGTTCTGGGCCTGGGACCTGCAGCTATTCCCCGGGAGAGTCTTCCACGCAAGAAGGTGCGTCAGGGACCGTCGCCCGAGACTGGAATGGCTGCCCCGAGCCTTTGGATTTGGAGCTTGTTAGGATCTCGCCGGGGAGAAAGAACTGTTCTGCTGATGTGGGACAGAGGGACCTGAACTCGGGACTGGAACCCACACTGCAGGAGAGTCAGAGGTCGGGCTGCAGACAGTGGGCAGCAGCCGGGAGCTGCTCGGCCTGGGGCTGGGGGAGCAAGGGGGGAAGGGTTTGCCAGCACCGAGGGGAAGGGACCCTGAGAGCTGGCAGCATGGAGAGGGAACGGCCAGCTCCACAGGTCCTGCCCGAGGCAGAGAAGGTGCAGGTGGGGAGGGGTCCCCGCCTCTCCCTTCCACCCCCAGGGTGCAGCCAGCATCTCCTATGGGTTAAGCCCGGGGGAGCCTGCTGATCCAGGAGCCACGCGGGGGGAGCAGAGAGAATGGACCTGAGGGCAAAACAGGCCCCGGCTGGGATGGGGTTCAGATTTGAACTTCTTTCCACGACGCTGTAATGAGCCTGGCGCGGGCTTTTCATACCTCAGAGGATGGGTCATCTGTTTCTCATTCTGCTCCTCTTTTAAAATTTATTTTTCAAGTACAGTTGACGTACAATGTGTTTCAGGTGCACAGCAGAGTGATTAGACATTTATATACCTTAGGAAGTAGCCACACGTGCTTGGGTCTTCTCTTGAGGATGACCCCTCAGCTGCACAAAGTAAATTAGGTGCTTGCCATATGCCACAGAGCCTTCTACTTGCAGATGGCCAGCAGTGGACATTGGTGCTCAGCAGGGTCCCCTCAGGAATGAAGGGCTTATTCTCTCAACTGCTGGGAACCCTGCAGGAGATGGCCACCTTGCCTAAGATGACCCCTCTCTTTAGAGCAGCACATGTCCAGTCACTGACCAACATGGGATTGTAAAGGCCTGGCCCCTCTGCCCACTGTGGTCCATTGAGAAGCGGCTTCTCAGCTTTGGAGCTCTTCATAGGGTTATCTGAGGCCTTTCCTCCCTCTGTCCTGACTTCTTTCGTCCCTGTGCCTCTCCTGCCACAGCTGNATTCTGCTCCTCTTTTAAAATTTATTTTTCAAGTACAGTTGACGTACAATGTGTTTCAGGTGCACAGCAGAGTGATTAGACATTTATATACCTTAGGAAGTAGCCACACGTGCTTGGGTCTTCTCTTGAGGATGACCCCTCAGCTGCACAAAGTAAATTAGGTGCTTGCCATATGCCACAGAGCCTTCTACTTGCAGATGGCCAGCAGTGGACATTGGTGCTCAGCAGGGTCCCCTCAGGAATGAAGGGCTTATTCTCTCAACTGCTGGGAACCCTGCAGGAGATGGCCACCTTGCCTAAGATGACCCCTCTCTTTAGAGCAGCACATGTCCAGTCACTGACCAACATGGGATTGTAAAGGCCTGGCCCCTCTGCCCACTGTGGTCCATTGAGAAGCGGCTTCTCAGCTTTGGAGCTCTTCATAGGGTTATCTGAGGCCTTTCCTCCCTCTGTCCTGACTTCTTTCCTCCCTGTGCCTCTCCTGCCACAGCTGATGATCCCAGGAACACCCCTTAATAGCCTCCTGCTCACCAATTTCCATCTCAGAGTAGGCTTCCCAGAGAACCCAACCTTTGGGACTCAGCAAATATACTCTTCAAATGTGGTAAAAACCATCCAGACAAGGTGAGGTGATGCGGGGACTGATAAACAGATAGAAACTGAGTTTCACCCGTAGGTCAGGTGGGAGCGATCACCTGAAAGCCCCAATCTGAACTTGGAGATTCTAAACTGGATTGGGGCAGGGGAGCCATCCCGGTAAGCAGGGGAGTGTTCAGCGACACTCAGGGAGGGTGAACGAGTTAAGCCAACAGGAGGCCTGGACATCTGAAAATTGGACTGAGAACAAGAGGTGACCTGCTCCCGGGGTTTTGTCTCTGTGAGCTGAGATGGGGAAGGTGGGACAGTGCTGGGAGAAACTGAGGATCCTGCAGGCCTTCGAGGCAGAGAGCAGGGTTCCCTGTTGGTTTAGGAGGCTCCGGATCGGCAAGGCAGGGCCCTTTTAGCACCTAGTTCTTCAAGGTGATCTTGTTGCGTCTGGCTGCTTTAAAGGTAGACTGAGTCTCAAATCAGTGAGCAAATATGACAGCTTTCCAATAAGATCTATTTGACTAAATTATGAGAGGCAGAGCGAGAGAGAGAGAGAGAGACAGAGACACAGAGAGAGACAGAGAGAACTGACGGTGGAGTGGGTTCCTGGAGGAGTGTGTCACTGGCTCGGTCCCGGAGGCTGTGCTCCCTTTGCAAGGAATCAGGGTTATGGTTGAGGTGCTGTGCACTGGCTGAGGTTTGTAGACCTGTCGTTCCTTCCAGGATGCCCTCAGGAACTTTGTCCCCAGTGTTACCTGAACACAAATCCAACCCCATGAGCCAGGTCTTGGTTGAGTTTATACATCTTGTATATGAAGAGTGAGTTTCTTGGGTCCACTAGCGGTGGAGCATGTGATCACAGACACCATGAGCCACAGGCCAGGCAGGACCTAATATTGCTAGAGTTACAAATGCCAAGCTCCCCGAATTTGCTTAAAAAAGTTAATTTAAAAAAAGAGCAGCCCGGCCGGGTGTGGCTCAGCAGTTGAGTGTCGACCCAGGATCCAGGCGATTGGGGTTCGATTCCCGGTCAGGGCACACACCCGGGTTGCGGGCTCGATCCCCAGGCGGAGGCATGCAGGAGGCAGCTGATCAGTGACTCTCATCATTGATGTTTCTCTCTCTCTCTCTCCCTCTCCTTTCCTCTCTCTGAAATCAGTAAAGATATATTTAAAAAAAAAAAAAAGAGCAAACAAAAAAGTTAATCAAGTTCTAATTTTCCTATAATATAAAAAAGGGCAGAAAATTAGGGGGGGTTGCATTTTTGATATTGTCTTTTTATTTACTTTTTTGAGTTTGTTTTAGAATAGACCATACAACCATGTTTGTGAACGGAATTGTCTTTGAACAACTGTTTTGATGAAGTTAATTAAGCTTACTTGTTTATTTTGCCAGGTTAATTGAGATAGATATATTTGTCACAGGGCATTGTGTATGTGTAAGGTGCACAGTGTGTTGACTTGATACCTATAAACTGCAAAATGATGGCCCCTGTGGCCTTAGCCCCTCCCCCACCTCTCCCATGGACCATTTTATTTTTTTGTGTGTGGTGAGAACACTGAAGATCTACTGTTTTAGCAACACTCATGCACATGACGCAGTGTCATCAGGTATAATTGTCATGCTGGATATGAAATCCCTGAACTTGTTCATTTCATAACTGGGACTTTAATCCCCACATCTCCCCATTTCCCCCACCTCCAGCCCTTGGTAACCACCCCTCTGCTCTCTATTTCTGGGGTTTGTCTTTTTGAGGTTCCACATTTGTGTGATGTCTGGGGTATTTCTCGTTGCCTGACGAGTTCACTTAGCATAATGCCAACAAGGTCCTTCCAAATAGTTGCCCACGGCCGGCCTCCTCCCTCCTCGCGTTGAGCAGCACTCGCACATACGTATGTGCCCCGTCGTCTTGTCCGTCCATCCAAGGTGTCTGTGTGAAGTGTATTTACTTTTGCCTGCACTTGCCCATATTCCCACCAAACTTTGAGGTTCGTTTAATAAGCTATGAGGCCGGTCAGTCAAAGAAACCAGGAAAAGCTCTTGGGCTGGGTGTGAAATTTTTGTGGTTTCTTTCAGATGCCGACACCTGCATATTTATTTGAACTGGGCTCTCGGTATGTAGCTCCTAAATTCCGTGATGTAAAATAGCATAAACTGCCATGTTCTATCAGGGCGACTCGAGCTACACCATGGGGACTTCTCACTGAGGCCTGCTGCTAACTTGGAAAACTCTTAATTATAAACGGTGTTTATTGAAAATTGAGTTACTGCTCAGCGCAGATAAGGTTTGATGAACCCTCAGCCCGCCTTCCCTGGACTATTTGCCAAAGAGCCCTGCCTCACTGCCACCGCTCTGTCCTTTCTCCCAGGATGACAGTCCCTGCGAAGGCAGTGTTGCCGCTGCGCTGGCTCTTTCTGGCCACCTTGCTGACGGTCTGCTGTCAGCTGATGTCCGCCTCGAGCCCACCCCCGGGACACGCAGGTAGGCCCCTTTGAGCTCATTATGTGCCGATGAGATCAATTAGTAAAGCCCTTTCAAAGTCCGAGGCACAGTTTAGTCCCAGGTCATGGACAAGAGCCTGAGGTGGTGTAAATAACGAGAGGAAGCCGAAACACGGCGGATCAAGCAGTTTATTTTGTTCATTTTGTTCTTTTGTGTCCAAATATAAGTGAAACCATATGACATTTGTGTTTCTCTGTCTCACTTATTTCACTTAGCGTAATACCCACTAGGTTCATCCACACTGTCGCAAGTTCTTCGGTTATGGCCGAGTGACGTCCCGCGGTGTAGACGCGCCACAGCCTTTTCCCCGCACATCTGCCGCGGGCACTTGGGCGGCTTCCGCTTCTCGGCGGGCGGCCGCACTTCATCGGGTGTGTGTTCCTGCAGCTTGCTTTGGAGGCAGGGCATCTTTATTGATAAACCTAAGTTAATGTTTATAGGGCTATAGCGAAGGGAGCCTACAGATAATTCACGACCCTTTGAAGATGTGTGGAGGAAAGGTGATGAATGGTTTTTAAAAAAAGGAGAGAAAGAAAGAGGAAAGAAAAAGGAGAGGGCTGCCTCTTTTGCATGGGGCCAAAAATGGGCTGTCTCAAATTTTAGAGACTCATTCAGCTAATCTCTAGGGAGACCCATGTCTATACTTTGCTTATTTCTTAAAAAAGATTAAGCTCATCAATGAAGCATCTGTGTGTGTGTGTGTAACTGTCTCCACCTCTTCTTGTTACATATATGTTTAAAGTGACAGAGGCTTGGAAATGCCCTTATGAACTGTACTTTACCGAATAATTGGTATTTATCAGCAGGCTCTTTGCCAGACAGTTTACTGTCTCTGCTTTGGTAATTTGAGGTGTGACAGTGCCAGGCATGTTTTGACTTCTTAGTGAAAGAGTGAAGCTTGAACCAAAAACCATATATGTGTCAAAACTGTAAAGTATTTCTCCAGAAGGTCTTGTGTATGGAGAAGTTTATTAGATATTCTTACCCTCAAACATACAGCTTTCTACTCAATTATTCTTTTTTTTTAAAAATATGTCTTTATTCATTTTAGAGAGAGGAAGGGAGAGGGAGAGAGAGAGAAACATCAATGAGAGAGTCATCGATCGGCTGCCTCCTGCACACCCCCTACTGGGGATCGGGCCCGCAACCCAGGCCTGTGCCCTGACCGGGAATAAAACCACGATCTCCTGGATCCTAGGTCAATGCTCAACTGCTGAGCCACGCCAGCCGAGCTCTATTCAGTTATTCTTATATTTTAAGTTAAGACATAATTTAGGCTAAAGATGATTTTTGAAATCTCTTATGACTCAATTTTTACTCATTAAGCTATAGTTTCAAGAAGACAAAAATAATGATTGAAATGTTAATGAATCAGTGTAAAACATACCATTGGGCTACTGTGAATTTTTGATGAGCTTCTTCAGGGCAGAGTGCTTGAAGTCGTTAGTCTTGTCTGTTTAATACACATCTTTTCCTGGGTGCTGCTTGAGGGTCAGGCTGGTAAACAGGCAAGCGTTTCAGTGGGCAGGTTAGCAGCAGCAGATTCCCAGGAACTAGGCTTGAGACTGTGTTGATAGTGATTAAAACGTGGCAGAAACAGAGGACACGGTTTCAAGTTTAATCTGTGTGGCAGTCTTATTTCATACCATAACCCTTTGAATTTGAAAAAGGTAGAACTATAGGGGTAAAAATAAATTAAGATTGGAATTATATACACAAGACATGTGGACAATATTTTCCATATAAGCAAATGGTCAGTAGCAGTGGGGATGTGAGAAGTCCGAGAAAAACCTGGCTAAATCCTGCTAAATAAATGAAATTTTCACCGTAGAATTTCTAGATGATTTTGTTTGGATGGTCATCATGTGTCCTCTGGTTCTTCTTTGGCTTTTGGGGGATTCTCCCTGCTTTTGTCTTTGGAATTTAAGTCCCTCTCATTTCCTCATCTTAACAACCATCAGAGCGACCAGGACAGTTCTGCCTGCAGGGGGCTCTGCTCGCTCCCTGTGGCAGATGCAGCCTGGCCCTCCATCACTGAGCCTGGCCTTCTGCTGACAGTGTGCCTGTTGAGACTGAGGGTTCCTGGTCCATTGTGAAGTCCTACTCCCTTACAGGTTTCTTAGGTTGTGTCCCTGATGCCTGGAATACAGTGGGTGCTAAGTGCATATTTATATTAGGCTAATGCTGTCCATTTGTCTCTATGTAATCAATGATGTAGTTTTCTGCTGGTGGTATAAATGCCAAACAATATAGGCAGGTGTGAAAGATGTCCTCTTAACTCTTTTGTTGATAATGTGTGTGTGTGTGTAAAGAGATTTATTATAAGGTAGTGGCTCACACAACTATGGAGGCTGGGAAGTCTCATGATCTGCAGTCTGCAGGTTGGGGACCCAGGAGAGCCAGTGATGTGGTCCCAGGGCTTGAGAGCTGGGGAGTTGATGGTGTAGATTCCAGTCCGAATCTGAAGGCCTGGGAGTCCGAGCACAGAGCTCAGCCATCAGAAAATAGACGTCAGCCTTCTTCTACCAGGTCCTCAGGGATTGCATGCGGCCCGGCCACACTGGAAAGGCTCATCTGCTTTCCCCCGTCCACAGTTCAAATGCTCATTTCTTCCAGCACACACACCTGGAGGTTTGTTTAAGCAGCTATCTGGGCATCCTATGGCTCACTCAGGCTGACACATAACATTAACCATCACAACTATCCTTCTAGAAAAAAAGGATGTGTATTCCCACTGTGTGTCTGCACATGATTGTCACGTGCACCTAGTTCTGTACCTTGCTTTTCCCCCATTTAGCAACAGAGTTTGGGGGTCTTTTCTTTTGGTACTTACAGATCTATATCACTCTCTGACGCTGCATGGTCTGTTGTGTGGATGTGCTATAAATTACTTGATCTCTCCTAATTTTGGGGGACATTGAGGTTGTTACCACATTTGTACAGATATTTATGTCCTGACTTCAGGTGAGTTCTCAGTGGTGAAACCCCGAGTGCGGGTGCATGTACATGTGTTAGTGAGAGCTGGTGAACCGCTGTAACGCGCAGACCAAACGTGCATAGTGGCTCAAACAAAAGAACTTTGATTTTTTTGCTGGTGAGTGCTGGGTGGGTAAATAGGTCCCCGGGTGGTCCTCCTCTACGGCAGTCCTTTGGGACCCGCGTGGATGGAAACTCTCTCATTTCGCCCCCTGGCTTCCATGGTGGCTCTGAAGTGGTCTCCAGCCCAGCCGGCTGGGAGGGAAATGGGCTGGGCGGGCGCCCCTGGGAGGGGTCAGAGCCACGGCCTGGCCTCACTGGGCGGCTGGGAGGCTTTCGGCCGTGGGCCCAGGCGAGGGGAGAGCGTGAATGCTGGCGAGTATCCCGCCGCCTCTGACATCCTGTATTCACCTGTTACTAGGTAGGAGCATCCTGCAGAGCTTTTGGACTTATTTATACTTCTACCAACGGTAGTACAGTAGACCCTCGATTTTGCAGACCTCCATTTAACAGGCTTTGGCTTAACAGACAGAATTTCTGTGGTCTGTATATCATATGAGAAAATTAATACCCTGTTAATTTAAAAATGCTTTTAACCAAGATTTGCTTATACTTAAATTAGTAGGTTATTTTTTTGTTTTTAATTCACTGTTATTTTTAACAAATTATGTTGGAAAAAACACTGTAGTAATTTCACTGGCATAAATAAATATTAGATAGCTACAAGTATAGTCTACATATTTAAATCCAAGAGTCACCGCTTGTAAACAATGTTCGGCGAATGATTAGCACGTGATCACAGCGCTTCTCCCGTGCTAATTGGTTCTGTTGTCACCTGGCGTGACTTTCTGTCTCGGTTCTAACACGTGCCCGCCAAAGTTCCCGTGTGCGCCCGGCCTGTGCATTTGTTCACTCAGGGCGGCTGGTGAATGTGGCATTTGCTAGACCAGTTCAGTATAAATTTAAAATGACAGTAATACGTATAGAAAACTTTTCTGTGAAATTAGACTTTTCATTCATACTTCATTTTAATTAACAAACATGTCTACATAAGTAAAATCAGGTTAACTAATTTGTCTATTGTTTAACATATGCATTTGGTAAACCTACTTTTTTATACGACGGACTTTGGGCTTTAACGGACGTGCCCTCGCCTGTGAGTTCCTTAGATCGAGGCTTCTCTGTGGCGATGCCGCCTGGTCCCATGCCCTCAGCAGCTCCGGGTGCCAGCACATTTAATTTTTTTTGCCAATATAGTAGTGAAAACTGCTGTTGCTATATTTTTTTACTACTAAAGTCTCTCTTAGTGTGCTGGTGAACGACCTGTTTTTCTTTGAGCTATTTCATCCTTTATCCATTTCCCCCTTGGTTCTATGCATTGTTTTCTTACCAACTGGCAAAAGCTCTTTGTAGATGGAGGACAGCAGAGGACGTGGACCGTCCCCTCCCCCCACTCCCACTCCAGGGAGGCTGTGTGCGCCTGTGTGCATGTGTGCGCGCCTGTGTGCATGTGTGTGCGCCTGTGTGCATGTGTGTGCGCGTGTGGTGATGCGGAGGCAGTTGGGGGCCAGGCGGTTTTTCCTAGTTAGCTCTCAGCTGCTGGGAAGCTCGAGGTCAGAATCCGCTGGGGGCTGTGCATGGAGACGCCGAGAAAGTGGCTTTTTCCCTCACCTTGCCGTCCCTGAGGAAGCGCGGCAGCAGGCGCCGGCTGCAGAGCGCACCTGGCTGCTGTGTGATGTGCAGAGGTCCCCACGCTGTCCCCAGGGCTGTGGTCGGGCTGGTCAATTAAAGGAACAGTGGCCCCAGCAACCCTAGGTGGAGGCTTGTTGGATGCTTTGAGTGGCTGGGACTAGAAGAATGGCTTGTTGACGGTTGTCCATAAGCGAGATATTTTACAACCCACCCCTAAGACAGAGCAGGGGATGAAGGTGGACCCGCCCTCAGCTTGGGAGGTGGAGTGTTGGGTGTGGGCTGGTTTCATTTTAGTTCAAGCAATAAAAACA